TACAGCAGGGTATTACTAAGTCCAAAACCCATGTACTTTTTATAGTTTAGTTCCCTGGCAAAACACCACCCACCCAAAGGCTTGAGGCAATGCAGAACTGGCTGCTTGGGATTTGCAGGGTAGAAGACACAGGCTATTTTTGGCATTACCCCTCTGTGGTAGGATGAGAACTATAGGCTAAACTGTAAGAAACATCTTGAAGACCTCCATTTCGTGATGAAGGACATATGCTTTTGAGGGGCGGGGGATTGTCAGGAAAAGCACTTTACAGAAATACTTTGCCCTCCTCATCCCTGCCAACCCAACCAGTTTGCAGAACCGAAACATGGGGTTAGGTCCCAACAGCTCAGGAAGAGAACAGCTACAGCAGTCCCAAGTCACCCCCAGTCCAGCCTAAAACAAACAGGTCAAGGACCTAGCCCTTTGCGATAACGTGGCCAGATCCACAAAGGAGACTACTTAAAAATACAGGTTTCTACCCTTAATTTGTATCTAGTCACCAAGGTTCAAAGCAGAAACTACTGCAGAAGTTCAGCTGACAAAACGAGGAGAGGAGCTAGGCACATACCAGCACAGCTGTAGTACCCGGAGGTCTTTCAGCTCAAGGCAAGGCACCTCAGTGTCACCCCCAGGAAAGCTTTTCCCATAGACTACAGGCAGACGAGATTGTTGTGATTTGGCCCTGTATCCATGATGCATATGTTAATGGATGCCAATGGCAGTTAGGCATGGGGAAACGCAGACTTTGGAGTCAACGGGTCAGCTTGGCTGCTAGCAGTTCAGAAGCAGAAAATGAGATGCATTAAACTTCTTTCTGGTCAATCTTTATTTTACACATTTGCATCACAGCAGGGAAACCAAGTTACACAGACCACCCTGATTTGTATCTACCTTGCTTCTCTTCAAATACTGTTTGCTGTTCTTTTAATAAAGTTTAAAAAAATACTGAAAAAATCCATTTGTACATCTGAACATGAACTGAGGAACAGGATATTTACAGGTCACCAAAACCCCTGGAACTGGACCTTGCTGTACACAGGAAAGTCTTTGAGTTCTGTTGGAGGTCATTTACTAAACGAATTCAAAGCTACAGTGTACAAGGTGCCCTAAAGCTGCTTAATGCCACAAGAGGATCTAGAATTAATTATTAATAGTTACTAAAGGGAAAGGGAAGCTATTTAGACCCATACTCTGTTTTGACAGAACAGGTACCAGCCCAACGCTCCAGTATCCTAGCTACGAGACGAAGTGCTTCTGATAATGTGGAGGTCGGCTCTATTTTATTACACAGAGAGCAGAACGCCGAGTGAAATCCCACAGGGAAATATTTATTAAGAATTGTCCTTTCTACAGGATCGCTGCAGTCAAAACATAAATGGGTTCTTGAGCCAGTCAACCTACAAGGAGCAACACTTTTCTCAGCCGCTTTCTTCCAGTACAGTCACTTTACACATAAATGAATATTGCAGTATTTTTCTTAAATCCTGTTCCAGCCGCTTGCAAGTACATATCGTGCGGAGTTCTTACAGGATCATTGCTATATCCACGCGAGAAACTGTAAGGGGGAAAATACACAGCCTCCCAATATTGCTAAGTAAAAGTGATTAATAAGCCCAAAACAGCATCGTACCCGGCGGCTACGAGACAAGGCCGATTAATCCAATTTAGAACAACGTTTTCCAGCACATCAACCCCAGGGAACACAAAGAACCACTGGTCAAGTGCCTCTGAGGAGCACCACCTCAGTTTTCATGAAACATTCAGGTTACTGAAGTTAAACACAAGGTCACAGGTTTTGGACAGTGTCAGTCCCCTTTCAGGTATCACCGTACCTTCCATCTATGGCAGCCCACAGCTCCACGCTCTTTTTACCAAGGTGAAAAATGGGGAAACGTTTTATGATTGAAATGGAGGGCATAACATAGAATCAATAGAACACATTCGCTTTAAAGTACCAGTAATCTGTTAGCTATCATGACAGGTCAAACCAAAGGAGACAAACCAGGTAGACTGAAGGAGGAGGATTTCCTTCTCTTCAATACCTGTGCTACTCCCTGATTATTTTTTTTAATAGCTAAGCAACTTCAGTTTTCAGAGCTCAACAGAACATAAAAATACCTAATATTTGCTTCAAATGCAGGTGGGCAATTTTCAAATAGACAAAAAACCTCTTTCTTGTCAATTTGATTGTCACTGGCCAGACTGCATAGCTCTTCTTTAAGAGGAGCATACTGTAAGGAAAAAAAAAGACTTAACACACTAAAAATCTTCCATTGGACTTTCACCAAATGTGCACACTGGAGTGACTAGGACATGCCCTTTCATGGCCAGAAGGAATGTTACAGTGCTTAAGAATACGTGGTGGATGCACACTCATGCTAGAGAGAGTCCACTTAGCTTCGGAAAAAAAAAATACATCTTGCACATTACTAGCTCCAAGACAAAATACTGCAATGCAGCAAATTTTTACAACATGCTCCCAGGGTATGCCAGCATGGAGATCCAGGAACAGGGCACTCGGCTGGAGAGAAACCCTGAACAATGCACTGCACAGATCACGACATGCTGAGTTAGATGACAACATGAAAGAGCATCTTAATAGGACAGCATGTGGCTTCTCCAACTCGAACTGCTACATTTTGAGCAAGCAGCAGCAATGTTCCAGATGACCCCATTATGTCTTGCTTTCTTTTAGTACGCCTCTTGATGAACCATCAAGGAAAACATTTTCAAGCCTGAGGAATGCAAGAGTCTGGCAGTTGCACTGCAAGGAGGTTTCCTATGGAAGACAGCTTGCTGAACAGTTACAGCAGGCAGGAGGAATGCATCAGTGGCATTTGCACGTCATCATCAACAGGGATTTACCGGGGCAGAACCTGCATTACAACTGAAGACTGAACCGATCTCATTTTTGTCTGCAGAGGGAGCCGAGTACTCCACTGCAGCAACATACGTGCATGCCTTCAAAACCATTTATTCTGAATTGCACCAGACCTGCTTTTCCAGGACTCCTGTCATTACACCACTGGGTACTCGCAGGCTGATTTAGTTGTTCGCTTCAGTAAAAGGCAAAGACAGGAAAGTAAGGCTGTATCCCAAAACTATCTGTAAGCCACAAGCAGCTCTTCTATTTTCCCTCCCTGTGAAAGACAGAGCTTCCTACCAGATCAACAGCCGTCAGCATCTGAAAGGCAAGCTCTGCTATTATCCTGCCCGGTGAGCTCTAAGCTGCTGCTTTTCACTAGCAAGAGAGTCATGCACTTGCCAGTCATGCAGATGTGGGTTTGCCTTGGGAGGAAGGGGGGGAGCAGCCCTCCCTTCGATGCTTTGCGGTGCAGCACACACCGTGCTGCGTGAGGAGCACGGCTGCAGCCATCCTCTCCATCCGCCAACAGCCCAGCCGCTGTCCAATCCATCATACGACCCTGCAAGACAAAATTTTTCAACCTGCTCCAAGGAATTCCACCAGAGAAAGTGGAAATTTACTTTGGAAATGGCTACAGTAAGAATCTTCTATCACTCTGTTTTTTGACTTGTACATCCACATTCATTTTCTTTGCTAATGCTTAGGTCTGACTAGTTACTGTTGTACTGCTGGTTAGCATCCTGCATTAAGCACCAGCTGAAGGCGGTTGTACAGCTGACTGCTAAAGCTCAGGTCTGAACTAGGAAACAGCTCTTCTAAAACCACTTTTGGAGTACTGCCATGGCTTTTCAGGCCAAGACAAAAAAAAGTCACCCATTTTTTGGCCTTTGACTAGTGAGCCGGCAACTTGGCAGATAAACCTACACCATGCGCAACTTTAGTAAAGTGCGTATAAAAAAAGAAACCTGAGACTAAGGTAAAAGCGCTCGCCAAATCAGCGGCTCCACTGATGCTGAGGTATGGAATAGGCAGCCGTTTGGAACCAGCTCAGCCCATGCTGGGATCCCAGCACAACCCCTCATGTTTCTGGGTGAAACGCCACACCCATCACAATTTCACATCTCACTCGCAAAAGGTATTAACAGGTTTTAAGACAGCATCATGTCTGGATTAACATTGTTTTTGCAGTTCTGTTCCTGACAGCAAATCCTTATCCTCTACATACTTCAGTGCCAACAGACTTCAAGTCTCCATGGGCTACTCTGAACAAAGTTTACAGCCTGTTTGAGTGGCCCTTTGGATGCAGTGACATTGCAGGGTTACTCTGTCCCTGTGGCAAAGAGTGAGGGGATGAGTTTTTCAGTTATTGTATTTAAGTGTATGATGAGCTGGGACTGCCTATGTTTGTCTGGAGTCCAATTTCTCAGACCTCAGCTACTTAGTATGCAGAAGATTTCTTCATACAGAAGGTCTGAAAGGCTCACAGGTCACCTAACAGCCTTTTAGTTGTGTAGGCTTCTCTGTTTTCACAAAAACTGTATCTTTGCAAAACAATGACAGCAAAAGTCAAACCATCACTGCTGCAATTACCATGCAGTTACAGCTGAGGAGGAAAACATAGAAGAGGACTCTGTACACAGAGAAGAGGGCTATTCTCATGCTTTATCAGAAGAGAAAGCAGTTCCAGGTATCAGAGCAGGCAGATTCATTTCTACCGTTTCCATGATGCATAGAACCAACTACTTTTGGGACTTTTCCCCCCACCTGGGAAAAGAAGTGGCAACTGGAGAAAACAATGCTGGACTTCAAAAACGCAAGTCTTGGTACAGACTGCTCATTTAAGAGCTCTACAATCCCTGTTCAGGACTGAGGAAGAAGTGGTTCAAGGTTCCAGAGGAAATCCCCCTTCTAAACTTAAAGAATAAAAAACCCTAGTGGCTAACAGTCCTCTAATCAGTTGTGCCCCAGAGATGTAGTCCCTTCAGTCAAAAAAAAGCAATTCCTAAGTGCCTTTGTAAAAGATGCTGGCACATCCGAAGCTCTGCGATGATGACTACCCCTGTCACCCTGACAGAAGCACTTTGCTCGACAGCACCATACATCAATGTCTCTACATGAATATTAAGGCTTCAGTGGGTCAGTGAGTTATACTTGATTTATTTTTCTTAAAGCTTATCCTCATTACATCAGTGAACCACTTCCATCCTCCCCCAAATTAACAATCATTTGCTATGCCTTACTACTACTACAGCTATGGGCACCAGCTTGCCTTACTAACAATAGCAGAGTACTACAGATAAAACGCACATGGCATTTGTAACATGTCTCTAAAAACTCCACTGCAAGTTTGCAGCTAACAGTTAAGACTTCCATATTCCCCTGCATTGAGTGTTCTGCTCATAACCTTCTCCTTTCCTGACAAAAACCATTTAGGACTGGAAGCTGCGGTTGCCTGGTTTTGGCAGCAAAATACCATTTTGACCAGTTCAGCCCAACTCAAACAGCAATACCATTAATCCTACGTAGCCAGAGAGGTACAAGTAGCCATCCAGTGAGGCTAAGTAACTCAGGATAATGGTGAACCAGAGGTTTATGCTGCCGTACATTTGCTAGACAGACTTCCACTGGAGATTCCGGTACTGTTTATACCATGTCAGAAAGGAGTGTCTTTTGAAATCCCTTGAAAATATTTTATGATACAGATTGAAGTGCTCTGGGTCACAGCTTGAAATAAAATGTTTACAATAGCATGGCAGACCCCTAGAAAGCAAGCATCAGTCTTACACCTCTTGTGTACTTCTTGTCAGGTGGGTGTGAATCAAGAGCAACTCCATGAACAGTGGAGAATTTGCGTTAACGCTTATTGCACTACGGCTAGTGCTTTTAATGGAGAACAGTCACTTGCTTCCTGTATAGCAATACATTTGAAAACCTGACATATTCAAGTGGATACCTGCCTGGATAAGACAAGAAGATACTTATCAACTTTCCCACTGATGCGAGTAGTGGCAGAAGTCATCTGATCCAATACCCCATTTAGTCTCTCAAATAACTGCAGTTGTTTCTATTCGTTTGTTTTGCAACGTTTTGTCCAAGCCAAAAGGAGAGTTTATAAAGAAAAAAAATACTTACATCTCTTCTTTTCCCACCTTCTGACACGCCTTGTAATTCCCAGCATACATGTTACATAGCAAGTGTGTATATATATATATATGAGCATTATATAAAATATATAGTTTACATACACACTAAGGTCTCTCTTCGCATTAGTATTACACATTCTGAAGAATGCAGCTGCAAACAACTCTGAATATCTAACCAATCCAGAAAGGGGAAAAAAAAAGAATAAGCTACCCAAAATCCCTAGGAAAGCTTCACGCTCCTTGCAGGTACCAAGAGATCCCATTTTCTTATGATCAGAGGAATAGTTATATTTCTGCACTGCTTTGCTCCCCCTAGACACACCCCACTCTGCAGTTTCAGTGTTGGGGAGTGCTAGTTGCTCCCTTTCCACTGAGAGTAATAATAATAAATTAAAAAAGTTTCTCTGAAAGTGCTGCCTTAGTCCAGTCCATCATGCCGTACTTTCCCACTCGCCCCGTGGCTCTGTTTTTTTCTGAACCATTCACCACTTTCTTGACCTTCTTCATGCCCTCCATTACTCCAGAAGTCGTCACCCTAGAAGAGAAGGGAGAAACATCAGAGAACCGAACTTGAACAGTAACATCCATTTCACCAGTAGCCCAGGTTTGTGCTCTTGCGCGTATCAAACAACACTTCTCTAGTGTTACCAAGACCTAGCAGTCTTGATGATGTTCGGCCTTTCCTATTGCTACCATTTTGCAGGCCAAGTATCATCATGGACACAGCACTGATGGGTGGTGGAAGCAAGGCCGTTGTACTTGAGAACCTCAAGGCCCTCCCCATCTATCATTAAACTAAATGAGCAAATAATATTTGCTCATACTTGAAAGAAGATAGCAGGGGTGGTTAAATGGTTAAAATGGGTGGTTATTTGCTAAAGTTTGAGCAGCTTGCTTGAAAAAAACAAAATATTTTGCTATACAGTTGAACACACTGAATTCTGTGCATTAAATACTTTCTTCTGCATTTGCAATGCTTTTAATAGGTACAACGTATTATATAAACGCACACACGGTGGACAGTGCCCCAAATGAACCTTACTAGCTTAATGCACACCAACTCCTGTTAATAGCAAAATTACTCAATGAATGGCAACAGAACAGAAGAGAGAGGTCATCCTTTTTATACCATCCAAGTCTGGATTTGTCATGGCAATCTGATCATTGAACTATAAAGCCTCATAATACCGTTCAAACACTAGGCAGACTGAACTGTTTTTCCAGCCAGAACAGCACCACTCCTCTCAGAACTGCCTTAGCTATCCAAAAGCTTTTCAGCCCAGGAGCTTTCTCTGTTGCTATACAAAACAGGCTATTCACATGCACAAGACGTCTGCTTTGTTCTTTTGCACACTATTATTCTCATTCCATACAGGTATTTTTTTCCCCCACAAATGTGCTACAAGGGTTATTTTGGATGCTGAAAGTAAGAGTGCCAATAGCTCAATGCATTCACAAGGGATGCCTGGGAGCATACATAAAACCGTCCTGTTCAAAGATGCCCCTGTCAGTCTTCGCAGGCTTTCACCTGCTGTTTACCATGTAAGAATACTTTATTTGATCAGACTAGCTAACAACATTTTAACAGTATCACCCAAGAGAAGAAGTAATCTTCAGATACACTCTTCTGATAATGCCTTTAGTTCCACGTTAGGTATCAGCTTCTGTACATGTACTGTAAAAATAATTTACTCAAAACGGTGTGTTCAGTGACTCTCTAGCAGTACTGGGATCATCAGTGGTTCAGACGCTTTAGAGTGGGCCTAGATGAGCTTGTGTTTAAAGGAATACGGAAAGAGTTCAGATCAAATAGCAGCTTTATTCCCTATTGAAATAAAAAAAAAAAGGGAGAAAAGTAAGCAGGTTGCTTAAAGGAGAAAGATGGAATTAGTAAGCAGCAAACATTTGCCTGGAAGAAATCACGTCGAGCTCATCAGCACAGAGAACACGTAGATCTCTAAGTTCTCCCTTTTGACAAAGGTTTTCCCCACAGTCACACACGAAAACATCTGGGGAAACATGAGCTAGACAAAACCATCAAAGTAGATACATAAATAATTGGAAAAGCTTGCATTGAAATGTACTTAATGGTTTCCTGTCAAAAATGAAAGAACATTGAGTGTGGTTCCAGAGAGGTCTGTCCTGGGTTCACTTCTATTCAGTATTTTCAGTAATTGCCTGGGTAATGGAATAGAGAATTTGCTTATTAAATCCACAGAAGACACTAAGAGCTACATATTTGAGAACAGGACTAGAATGCAGAAAGATCCTGGCAAATCAAGGTAATGGTCTGAAAAAATATGGGACAATGCAGCAAGACAACTACAAAGTTTACTCTTCAGAAATAATAAGCTTTTTAATTACAGAATAAGGGGCTAAGTACCAATTCTTCAGGGAGGAGCTGAAGATTACAATGGACTACAAACCAAACACAAGCCACTAACACAGCAATGCACAGCAGACATACTAGGATATATAAGTAAGTTTTTTGCACATGCATGACACCAGGTAGTCCTAACACTTGACTCACAGCTGGCCCACAGTCTAGATTTTTAGCTCTGCATTTTAATACAATTACAAACCCATTACACACCAAGATGATGACAAAATGATCAGAGGTTGTGGCTAAGAGGGAATGATGCACTTTCATGGAGGGAAAGGACAGACAGCTACATACTGAAATTGCAGCCAGCTCAAGTCCTGTCATTTGTTACCAGAGGCCATTTACTGTCCCCACCCTGCAACGACAGCAAAGAACAGGGAGAGATTTTGGGGTGGATTCCTCAACAGCAGAAGTTAAAGACCATCTGATGAGCACTGTTCTCATCTCATGAGAAATGTATGCCGTAGCTCTTGAGTCCTTATTTTCTCAGATTGTTTGCGTACAATGGGCAATTCCTCTCACTCAAAATCAGTTCAGCCAACACGTTTCAGTGCCCGGTAAAATAAGGGTATCAGCACTAAGACCAAGCACAGTGCAATTCTCATTCTAGTCCTCTGAGCAGTCTCAAGACTTCAGTTCTGACCTGCAATACTGCAAGTAAATGTTCCTCACCCGCAGTTTGAGAACTGCATGTCTAGCCCAGAAACTAGCAGTAGCTAAAAAGCAACAGATCCTTCTAACTAAACCATCTCTCTCCAGAGAGAATTTTTGTGGCTGTCAGAGAGATACCTGTCACAAACGAGGCACAAAAGGAGTTCCCTGAACACTCCATTGCACAGTGGTACACGCTGCAGATACTTCATAGTTCCCCCCCACGTTGTATCCAAGGTATCAAGAGATAGCTAAACATTCAGAAGCATTTTCAGCCCTCCGCAGTGGTGGATCTCAGCTGTCTTTTCTCCTGTTTTTTGTTCCCAAAAAGAAACACTGTGATACTGGCAGGAGCCAGCCTTTACAAGCTATTGCAAACTGGAGTGAAAACTGATCAGCCATTGAGCAAAAAAGCTGATCTCTGCATGGGAAAGATGCATTAGGTGAAGAAAATCACTTCTAACGGAGAGCATCATGAATCAGTCTGCCATGAAGCACAAGCTGAGAGAAAGCAGAGAAAAGCAACCAACCAGGACTTCAAGTCTCAGCACAGAATAGGTTGTCTCATGATACAGTGAGAAACTCCAGATCCCAAGGCATAAGCAAAGGTAGGTCAGTGTTACCACAACAGTTCACTATGTTGAGGCTGTGCTGGGTGTTAAGAACAAACAAAGTTAAGTCTCCACACACTCAGTAAGATGGATTTACTGAATTAATAACAAAACCATTAATGGCTTTTCCTCCAATTCCTCCTCCAGTGGAAATATCTTACCCCCACATGCATGTATGAACATCATTCTCAACCAAGATCTGTAGAAGAGCACTTCAGTACCTCACATTTAAAGCAAACTTACTGAGCTAATGAAATAACTTACTGCAAGAGTAAAAAAAACTAAAACTGCTTCCTTTCCCCTTCCCCACCCCACCTCATCTACTGTACTGTTTATATTTTTGTGTTCATGCCCCAGAAATGGCATTAGGACTGGAAGCCTGACAACTCTTTCTGCCAAGTGTGGCTGCACCTTTTCAAACAGAGTACTTAAATCTAACAAACTGTCAGCGACAAGCCCACATACCGACAGCATGGGCTCAAGAGGCTGCCCAGCCCAGAATACACAGAAAGCCACTTTGTTGATGATAAATGGCTATTGACCCTACTTGAAAAAGAACAGGCTGGTCCTTAGTTCAGGTTTAGTCATACTCTCCTCTCCACCAGGACAACTTCTATTGAGTCTGGTATAACTGAAGAGCAAGTCCTATCCCAAGACAGAGGCGCGTTAGTGGAAGAGACTTATTGCAAGTTACCTTTGCTGTTCTTGATTTATATTTTATTTGAGAGTTACGAGAATTTACAGAGGGAGGATTTGTGCCTTACGTTGCTTCTGTCACAGACACCTAGCCTTTGGATTTTTCTTGAAACTTCACAGATTTCCACACTGTCCTTAACAATATTTACATTTACTGCCAGACTGAGCTTTGTATAGTTCGCACTGCATTAAAGCAGGCATAAGCTAGAGAGCTGCACTTAAAATGTCCTATTTTTTGCTGGAAGGCAGGCAAGCCTGGAAAACAGGCTTGGTGATCTCACAGCTCTCCCCTCCATTGGCTCATGGAAATGTTGAGTCTAAAGAAACTGAACGCTTCTGCAGCAAATATTTTAAAGAGCCTGATTTTAACAAAAACCCTCCGGGAGAGGAAAACAACCATAAAACCTGACAATAAGACATGGCAGAACACCATGAAGTTTGAAGTTTGCAGGCTTTTAACTTCTGCCATAGCCTCTGAAGACAAGTGGGTATTTATCACATGAAAGACAAAACACACTCATACAATAGTTGGTCAGGATGCTGTCAGGCACTCACTCACTCGGTCAAATAAGCCTTGGTATTTTTTCCCCCACAGAAACAACATTTAATATTTATAAAAGCAAAAATAGGACCAGCAAGACCAAGTCAACAAGAAATTTAATACACTTCCATTGCAGTGCTTCACCTGTCACAGAATGTGTATGCAGCATGCTTTTCAAATATGTGCAAACTTCACCTCCCTGATGCAGCTGGGGAAGGAAGAACAAGACTCTCGGAGATTACACCCTGCCAAGTGCCCAAATGGGGTAAAACTGGTGAATCAGATGAGAAAAATTCAAGCAAGGCTAAGGGGAACAAAGCCACAAGGCACAACAATGGAGACTCCCAAGGCAAAGAGCAAAATGCCTTACTAGGAAAAGGCTCCCAAGGAATTCTGATCCTCGAGTTTCTAGTAATGTCTATTCCAGTATGGCAAGATGTAAATCACTTAATTAGTTCATTAAACTTTTTCCAGCTTATTCCTGGCAGGTTCTCTTAAATTTAGCAGCTTCTCCAATTTACTGAAATTACTACATGCGAAAGGTGCCATATTATTAGTCCTAAAAAAACCCAAGTAAAAACTCATTAAGCATGTCATGCAAACTTAAAATTCACTCTAACAGGCAATCTTGTAGGAAAAAAAGCTCTTTTCTGTACAATCACAAATCCTGCCACATCTTCCTTTTCAGACAGTGCCTTCCTAACATGGATGTTTATTTACCAGCTCCCAAACTGAAACCAGCTTCTTACATAAACCATTTAAACACTTTTAAAGCAACAGTGATTTTAGGGCCACTACCTACTAGTTGGATTCCGCTTGCAACAATGACAGATTTTATGGATCCAAAGCAAAAATAACTAAGCATTTGAAGAGATCTTTGTTTCTAGAGACATTTCTGAGAAGTTACACTCCTTGTATGACATTTCAGGCTGGATTCTGCCTCAAACCTCCTTGTAGCAATTTCCCAATAAGCTCCATTTCTTTCTGAGCTAACTACGAGAGCAAACACATTCTGACTTTTTTTGCCCCCACAGTAAAAGTTGGAGTGTTGATTTGTTTCACCCAAGATCAGGTAAAGGAGATCTGCCGAATTAGAAATAAATTCTTAGGAACAGGCTTGTGGGCCTGTACATGAATTGCAATTATGCAGAAGTGCATAACTACTAAAGAGATTAGGTTAGCTCGGCTCCTATCAAGCAACAGAGTCTGTGGCAATTATAGCTGTATTCAACACTTCTAGCATGCTGAATTTCTTAGGGCAGTTTCTATTACAGATTCAGAAATGCCACTCATTTTTTAAGTCCTCAGAACAGCACTGCAAAGAAAATGACAGGGACTTAGGCTGAGCCCCACTTTATAATTTCTCCAGACTATCTCAGGTCCTACTGCATTTGTGGTGCCTCATGGTTTAGCATGAAGGAACAGAACAGTGAAGAGCATTGGTAAAAAGCCATCTCCTCAGCTCAGTGTTACTTTCTGCAAAGCTACAGGCTGAACTTCAAGGTAGGAGTGACCTTACACCATGTTCATTTATCTTCTGTAGATTGGTAGTTTGCCATTGCTTGGTTGGTTTGGTTTTTTTAACCATGAAGCATTAATGACAATCTGTAAGGCTCATTTGTGTTCAGCAACACAGATTAAACACAAGTTTTTTCACTTGATATTTTCATGGGTATGTTTTTGCCCCACAAAAAGCTTTACCAGCTTATTCCACACTACTGTAATATCCAGCTCAGAGGCTCCTATGCATATCACAAATTTCTTTGTTAGTTTAACACACACCAAATAGACACCTCATCTTTAAATGTGTGGGCAGATCTTAAATCTTTTTCAAAGAAGGATTTAGAGACATTAAAGTAAACCGCTTTTAAACATTACTTTTCTCAAATCAAGCAAAGAGGTAAAAAAAGACAGGGGAAGGGGTTCTTACACAGCTTCCATCTCCAAGTCATCCTCATCATCTTGAGAAAGCTGTAGATAAGGGTTGTCTGATGCTGGACGGAACTTGTACCCAGTGAGGACAAAGAAGACAAGTGTGGCCATTTCATCCAGCAGCTGCAAGTAAAAACACAAGATTGAAGTTCAGTCCTATAATCCTTCATGGTCATGAAACATTTCTTCTCATTCATAAGATTTGAGATTTAATGGCCAAGAAGCCTGTGCCGTAGCAGAAATAACAAAGCAATTCCTGTCCTGTTATCATTAATCTCAGGCTAAAGGCTGTCAAGCCCTTTGTTCTTTCAGCTTTCCCTGTCACTTTAAATTCAGTTACAGTTCCAGCCATCACTCCAGTGCTTTTAAGTAACTACGGCAAGACTTGGCTTTTAAATGGGGGGGGATGATCATCCCTACGTTGTTTGGAATTTTCAACAGTTAATGTATTCTAAAGACTCCCCGCACAGTTACTTGGACTATATGTTAAGAAACCAAGTATTTAAAAGTCACTAGGCAAATAAAGCCTGTAGATAGAAGAGTGAAAGCCTATTTCGCTGGCTCCCTGGGGCCTCAATTACACAGGGCAAACCTGACTATTTTTTCTCCTTTGTATGTTCTTGATTAATTTCCTTCAGACATTTTTAAATTGAAAGACTAAAAATCAATAATGCAATTACTTTCAGACATGTCATGTATAATCCAGCAGCCTTGCTGGACAAACATAAAACTAAAAATATATTCCTGCCACCTTAGGCACATCAGTGATAAAAACCAGGAGGAGAAAGGGTGCAGCACTGTGCTCTGAGATGTTCTACTACAACATGAGGAACAATTTATGGAATTTTTTTTGTGTGGTTATATTTAAAGAATAATAAGAAAAAAAATAAAGGAATGGATGTATTTTCCTTTGCTAGCAAATACCTGGTACAGCCATTTCCACTGGAATGGAACAGCAATCTTTATGAGAATTGCAATGATCCGTGTGAAGTAAATGTAACACACAATCTGGGAAGGAAAAGGAGAAAACATGATGAGAACAATAGCACCATCCTTATAGAACCTCTTTTTCCAGAGAAAGAGCTCAAGCAATTCCCAGGCAACTCATTATGTCAGATTAGCCCTATTATGCTCCTTGATAAACAGGGAAGATACAGGCTGAGGGCCGTACTGCTTGGTGAATGTCCAAATGACTCAAAGTATTGCTAACATATTTAAGTTACAGCAGGAAAATGCTTTAAGCATTAGGATTTTGTAGAACTTGAAAAATCGGGATTGCAATTATTACTCTTACCACTTTTAAGAGTCTGAAATGAGGCTGCTGGAAATCATTAAGAAGCCTATGCTCTCTTGGGAGGTATGCTCATGGCTCCCACTGACTTAATCAGAAGCTGCACACATGCATCTCAAGGCACCATTTGGTCCCAAGTTTAATTTTTAGGAAGTTTACAGTATGTTATTCAAGCCCATCAATTCAACTGGCAGCTCAAGCTGTCTCCAGAGGAAATTAGTAAGCGTTACAAATAGCTGTAACCAATTTAAAGATAGAGAGAAGGATGCAACCGCTAGGAAAAGAAGGGAAGTTGCTTTGAGCACTGTAACCCAGTTGACCAAGATGCCAAAGCACAGCAGCGCCACAGAACTAGGAACATCTCCACCACATCCACCAGCTATACTAGCTTCCAACAAGTAAGCCATCAAAAGGCTTGAACGGCTTCTAAGTGCTCTGTATGCATGCGTACATGTGTTTTACTTACCATTACATAGTAATGTCTGAAAAGCTTCAGCTTTGCTAGGTTAATGGCAGCTATCAAGAGAACACAAAAGTCCATCAGAAAATTGTTAAAACAAGATGAAGTTTCTTTCGATGTCTGTCTGCAAGGTAGGCAAGTGGTCAAAACTAGGACTTGGGTAATCCCAGACTAGAAGGATTTGTCACACAGCCTGTTGGGCTCTGAGGAGTACCAGCCTGGCTTGTCTACATACCAGACAACTCCTAGGCTGGGGTGAATGCCCTCTTAAAAAGGCAACTCGGTGATATCACCTTTATGCTAAATTTTATATGCACGCACTCTGCAATATAGAACCTTCTTCCTCTAATGCTTATCTGTACATAGCCAACTACATACTGTCACCTCACTCTTGCCAGAAGGACCATGCCACTTGACATTGCCTCCTAGAAAACTGACATCTTTTCTAGAGTTCTAGAGTCCTGACCTGCTCTGTGCCTTCAACTGACCTGAACGACTTTGAGGTAACCTCAGCTCTGGGAACCACTGCAGCTTGGTGAACCGCAGCAGGAGTATTTTGACATCTATACAGTATCCTCTATCATTCGTGGCTCAGTCACAACTTACCAGTGAAATGGGAAGTCATACTAAATAGTTCTTACAGCAAATGCATGTTTCAGTCACAAACCGTGTAAGCCAAGGCCCCAGGCTAACTTGTGTTTATTGGACAGATTACATCAGCTCTTGAGGAACAGAGCAGATATTCATGTGAAGGAGCAGAGGTCAACAACAGATGGAGCAGCTGTCAACTCTGGTTTGAGAGTCAGGTTTTAGAGGTGCAGCAGGATTACAAATACGGACTCCTGGTGCTTTTGTGACAACACAAGAGGCAAACACTCCAAGATATGTTGACAGCATACAGAAATGCAATTTAGAGACCATGAACATCAGTTGCCAGTTAGAAAATCTGCCACATGCTTACTGGTATTCCCTCCAAGCCCTCCTTATAAAATTTTTTATCAGATGTGAAAGTGCAACACATTGTGCTTAAGTTCACCTGCACTCCCTCACAGAAATCACCAACTGCAAAAAATTAGATTTACAAAAGGCTGCATGTATTTGCACATAAGGCCTCCCAGGTTCACAACAGTGCAAAATACAGTATTACACACCAGGAAGAGGAGGACTAATAGCTACCAAAAAATGCTTCACTTTCTTTGTCAAAAACAATGAAGCTTTTCTTATGGAAAGGTAATGTCAAATGCACCACTCAAACTGTTACAGGTTCCCCCTACATAAGCTACAGTGAAGACAGACAACATTCTCTTATAAACCTACTTTGTGTAATCTAGAGATCAAGAGTCACTTTCCAAAACTTACCTTTAGTGTTCCAGAAGAACCACTGAAAGCTACGGACACCTTGAGACAGACAGAAACCCTCCTCCAGCAGACATACTGTAACAAGAGCACCCGACTAACACAAGGCGTAAACTGACTGACAAGTAGATAAAACTAAGCTAAGGGTAGTTTTGATTTAGTGCTGGCTAGTGGCTTCTACACATTTCCAAACGGTATGTCTACTTTTGACAGAGCACAGGGCATGGCAGAGAGAGAAAGCAGAGACAGGCCTCAAGAGGAAAAAAGCAAACCTTATTTGTGAAGGAACACCAAGTTTGTTTCCATGCAGCTAAAGCTTTATGTGCAACGCTCATCTGAACACCAGTCAGACTGGGTTGGCTTTGGGCAAGACTGTGCTCATGGGGGCAATCTTCTGGCACAGTACGTCAGAGGAACACTAGCTCTCAGTCTGGGGAGGATGCTCCCTTCTGGACTGCAATATGAAAAACTGAACATAGAATAGCAGCCGCTTTGCAATATACAGTTCTGGACTCCAGAAAGCAATGCCCAAGCTCTAAACTTGCATCTGGAGAGTACCAGCAGCGAAGCACAGAGCACTTCACTGGGCAACAGATGGCAAGACTTGGAACTGCTAGAACAAGAATCTAACTAAATCCTTGGTAGCTAAATCAGCCCCGAGACATTGGTTTAGCTACTTCACCCTCATTTCTGTCCCTCACAAAAGCTAGTTTCCCCCATTTAAATAGCAAAAACTTAGGAATTTTCATGGATCTAGTGCTCTACCAGATAACCTAATGTTAAAAGCTTTTCATAATACAGTTGGAGAAAGATTAAAGCCTGCAAATAAGCAGGACAAGAATATTAAATCGTGAAGCAGGGAAGCAATATTGTCCTATTTAAATGAGAGCTACATTAAGTGTGACCACGAAGATCTTGTGATTTACCACATATCGGTTTGTACACAGAAGGATCTATTTTGAACTCAACGCATTCATCTCCAAGAACTGCCACCAACTGGTGCAATGACAGGCCATGAGAATTACGAGGCTTCATAGTTAAAGAAACACCAACTCAACAGCTGTGATTCAAACTGCCATCCATCAATGCTTTACAGTCAACAACCGAGTGAGCTGGGGAGTCATTTCTGTTGGATTCGTGCAGTGCATAGGAGGAAAGGATAGTGAAGCCAAAGATCTGGCTGCCAACTGAAGTATCACCATGCCACCTCTCCCACCTTATGGAGCACAGCTCAAGATCTTGCCTACTCATCATGATAATCAATACCGAAAGTCATAGGTTGGTACATCCAGATATCTAGAATGGCTGAGCATGGGAAAGAAGGGCGAGGGGAGGAAAAACGACAACCACCACCAAGTAGAAAGACTGAAGAGCCACCTCTGGAAGCTGGCTTGCTTATTTATCACAACTAGGTGCTCTCCTCTAGCTGCCTCAACTTCAGGAATACTTCCCTCCGCTATCAGACACTAAAGCCAGTATTAATGCACGTCTACAAAATTCTGCCAGGTTTTTTTTAAACGGCTCAAAGTTACAGCACACACTGTTCTGGAGAAAGTCTAAAATCATCATTGCTTGGCATCAGCAGCTTGTGAATTGCTTTTTCACAGGCTGAATGTGCTCCAAGCAGTAACACTTGAGTCTCGCTATGCTGGACACTAAGACTTTGATTCACCTTAGCCTGGCAGTCCAGACACTGACAGCAACATTTGCAAGGAGAGAGGCTAGGCCAGCAGCTGTCACTTACAACTTGAATCATTTGCAATCCCAACCTGTAAAGCCGTGATAACACGGCAGCAATCACAGCATGCAGTAAAGGCTGGGTAAATTTATGTTTCGAGTATGATAACCATTCTTCAAGGAACAGTACTTAACTGCAGAGAAGGTAGAAAAAAGTAGCAGAGACTTTCTACCAAAGAGTTTACAAATGAATTCATATTTGTATTCCACCTCTTTCATAAAGTAATTAAAAAGATAAAAGCCATCCTCCAAGAAAGGTTTATAACATCTATACCTTGCTTCCCTCAGTTTTCCCTCCCTATCACCATTTACTTAAACAGCTTGTGCCTGCAATAGCCTGATCTGCATCGATCAAAACATAGCACACCACACAATTTTGATAATCAGTCTCTTTTTCCAATTGCCCCCTTGCTAATTTCAAATGCTGAGACAGCCTATAAGATGGGGAAAAAGAAAGTCAGACCATCCACTACAGCTTTGCACACCATCAGACAATAGCTTTTTGATGAATAAATCTGACCTTTTTAGAATATGTAATAACAATAAGAGGACTGCAGCCCAGGGCGTAACAAGCTCAAGTCCAGATAATATAGTATGCAAGGGCAAACCATAATGCATTTTGAGTGAACACGCTAAAGTACAGCTAAAAATATTTCTACAATCTTTGTGCGCTATACTAACTCCGGTGCATTTGAGATGCAATCTGCACCATTTCCAAATAGTAAATGAACTTTTTATTCCCCCACCTCGCCCCCAAGAATGAAGGCACACATGTAGATCCAGACCTCAAAAAGCAACTCCAGGAGTAACTCTGAGAAGTACGGCCCTGTAATCTCTACAGCACTCTGCTTAAAAGCATTCTTATACCAGAAAGAAGAGGTCAAGCAAACAGATACAGCAACTCTGTGTTATGCATGAGAAGCTGCACAGACTAGTTAATCTTGAACATTCTAAAACACATTAGCCATTTGGCACAACACTTCCCCACCAGGGTCAGAAGAATGTCCAAAGTACAGGATAAGCAATGTATCTCCAACACGTAATTGCTACATCAACCCCAGATAGTTAGCTAGGGCAGCTGGAAGTAGTACAGTGGAACATAATAGGCCTATTTAATTTCTCAACATTTCCTAACTCTCCAGCGCTATCCATTGAGGTCTTGACACTTAAATCACCACGCTTTATCTCAAGGTTTGAGATGCCCATGTACTGCCTAGAGCATGTTTGCCCCTGCGCTACCCCCTCCTCCTCGCCGGAGAGCTGCGGAGGTGTTTTAGCATGGGTCTCCGCAGAGCCATCGCCTCCAGCGTCTGCTGAGCTCAGCTAAGCAGAGGGTGTTCTGCACCACACAGGACCAGGCTCTTTGTTCACGGCATTTCCATGGTACAGAAGCAGGAAGACACTCAATACAGCAAATGTTTTTTCCTGACATGGGGGCAAGCACGAAAGCTTTAACCATCATTTGCCCACTGCACAGCACACAGGGAATGCTGCCTGGGAGCTCAATGCATTCCGCCTAATTCTCCTAATTCTGCTGCCAGCTATGACATGCTGCAGTGCTTCAGGAAAAAAGCTAATGTTCGTGATCAGACTGCACCAAGTTTCACATCTCACATCACACACACAGAAGTACAAGCAGAACAAAAACTGCAGTGGTGTTTCCAGCCCTCCATTCCTCCCTCAAATAACAGATGATGTGATACACAAGAGTGGGTTATGAGACTTGAGAGGTCCAGTGACCAAGAACTTTGAGTTTCAGACAAACATAAGCAAGTTTACTACAACATACTCCCTCTCTCCCTTTTCTCACAATGCCTGTAAAAAAGGTAGTGGTAGTTGAGCAGCTTTCCAGCCCAAACAATCCCAGCTCAGTTTGCAAGGCTGATTTCCTTAAATCTGCAAGACATTTGTAATGCAGATCTAGAAATGGACAGAGAGCCCGCTCCCATCTGAAAGAACAGTGACAGACCAAAGAGCTGCAGCTAGGCACTTGCTTAAGTCTGAAGGTGGCTATTTTAAAAGGGGAAGAAAAAAGCTTCTAAAAATGGGATGTTTACACCCACTGCTGTGCAAGATAAGAAGCCTGTGTAGGTCAGATATTTTGCTTTAGAGTTAAAGATCACCTTCAAGGAAAAAAAGCAAACAAGCAGGCAGCTCAAACTCAGCTCTATCACTGTGCCTTGCCTACTCTTCACTAGCAATCCACAGCACCTGTGCATATAAGGTCTCCCTGGATAAATACGGCTTTAGACCCATTCCTCTAGCTTTCCCACTTTAGAAAATAATCTTTAAAAAAAAAAAATCAAGTTTAAATGACCATTAGCTAGTGACTCCAAATCATTGTTGCTTCTAACAAGCCTTTTTAATAATTGTACATTGCTAATACAAAGGCCTATAGCAAGCACAGCTGTAACAGGCTAAAAGACTAGTAGTCCGACCAGCCTTCTGCTTCATTTCTAGTCTAGTCACGCTGCAGTCACGGCTGCACTTGACCCAAGGGAGTGCTATCTAATAAACAGGTTGTGAAGTAGCTGGAAGAGGACAAGACAGACAGACAGTCAGGAAACACCACCAGGATACTGAGCCGTGAAGTCCTAGAGTTGTTAGTTCTAATAGATGTAAGGAAGCAAAAATAATTTACCTTAGGTCTTTCTCACCAGCAGACTCAGCACCAGGGAAAAAAAGTTATTGAATTTATAGTCTATAATTCCCCAAGATACCCTATAAGTTAATGAAGTCTGTGTGAGAGAACAGGGAAAGCAGCCGTTGAGGTAATACTAGACAATAAATCCTAGCAAGCAATAGGCAGCCCAGCCAACACCGGCTGCACAAGATTCAGTCAGCTCTAACCACAGGACAGGCAGTGCTGCAGGTAAACTGCGTATGAAAGGATCCAGTAGTTTTCACCACTTTAGGAGAAAACTATCTTCATCTGTGGAAAAAAAAATGCTGGTGATTTTAGAATTATCACTAGTCCTGTTTTTCTTGTGAGAAGCTAAGACACTGTGCAACACCTCTGCAGAACAGGGCCTCCAAGGGAAGCCTACAGAGTTAAGAGCATGTGGTTCTAGTCAAGACTATTCATTTATAAGCCTAACAAATTATTTTACCATATTATAGGGCAACCATATCACTTCTGGTTTTCTCAGCCAGGCACACTAGCAGCATGACATCATTAGGTTACATTCTGCTTCTGGCATCATGTTGCCATTCACTTGCTCCCCACGAGCTCCTATCAACAGCCTCTAAATACTCTAAGCACATTATTTCACAAGTGAGTCCCAGCACTGTGGCTGTCCTGGCCACAATCTAGTGCCTATGTTTTCCCCGAAAATTCTTCCTTAGCTTCTTTTTTATTAGTGTAGTATAACACAGCTGCCAAGTCCCTCTCAACACACAATTATTGAACTTGCAGGATCTGCACAACAAAGCATGGTAATGGCAGTAGGTGATCCACAAGCAACCTTCATGATAAAGAGCACCATTACCCGTTGAGAACAACACAAAACAGAGGACTAAGAACAGTCCTTAGGGGCTATTGTGCATATCACTGACTAGCTATAAGGACACAACCAGTTCTTCTCAGATCATCATTTTCTTCTACCTCCATTATACACTACAACACATCCTTCAGAACTACTTGGTTTTACTTAGATCCAGATTCCCCCCATTACGACGAAAAGTGGACACGTCCAGAGTCTATGCTGAACACCCTTGATGTTGGCCACCTTACTTTTCTCCTTCATTCAGTATGTTTTGAAGTTAAGCAAACTCCATAGCACCATCTTGTGATAAAAGGCATCAAGTGCAAAGCAGGCACGGGGTGATCACCTGGGGCCACACAGATCTGGAGGGTTTGTGGCTCAGTTTGAGTGCTCAGTGTCGGAACAGCCACAGACTCCATTGCCACCCAGCAGTTCTGCCTCAGTTACAGGAAAGCTGATCTCTATTTGTAGTCACACACGGTGGCTTCAGCTAAGAACCAGGACTTACATATGTGAAGTTCTCAGTTCAGAAGAAAGGGATTGCTTTAGGGAATGTCTAAATTTAAGCAGACTTTGTAACAGTAAGAGCATAAATACTCCAGAACACATGCTCAGTGGACAAGATAAAACAAATTCAGTCAATGTCACTGAATCCATGTGAACACACCGATGAGAAAGCTACCAATAACATTCATGTTACTTTATCAACACAAACCTCTTTTACATTGGTTTCTATTAGAAATTAATATTTTCCCCCCTTTAGGTTTGGGGTGGGTGGTTTGTTGTTTTTTTTTTTTTTTAACAACTTTGAATCTCAAAAAAAAAATGCTGGGCTCACCTTCATTATTGTTTCATTTTAACAAATGGCAAGAAAAGACCTAATCTGTGGTCTGCACAGAGCTGAGTTCAGTGCCCAGCCTAAACTTCACCTACTGGACCACAGAGACAATCTGCACTGAAATGCAAGCGGCTCAGTGGAAACCGGGAAATGACTGGAAGAAGTATTCAGACCTAGGAGGCTAGCTCCTGAAAGGCGAGACAAGAGTTAACGGATAAGACCAGGTTGAAAGGATGTTGCCAAAGGACCTTCTACAAATAAAGCTTTCAAGAAAAGCCATCAAATGACAGAACGTTGAAATGGCTGCCTGCTTCCAAGGAAGCCAGTGCTGTGCTCCATGGCTTGCATCTGCAGCCAACTGAGGAACTAATTCAGAAGAAGTGAACAGATAAGACAGGAAAAGCACACACTTACAGAAGCCATATTTGGGTTAGCTTTCTATCCATCATCTCATTTTCACTGCTACAATAAACATACTCAACTTTACACAAGCAGTCCTTTAAGCTGCTGTACAAACATGGACAAGAACTGCGTTACATTGAATGCCAATTTATGTTTTGTTTCATAATGAGGTTTGTTTCCCTGTATTCTGGCAGGAACAGATTTCTGCAGAAACTGAAGTAAGGGTGTCTATTTTGTCTAATAGTCAGCAATTCTGGAATTCATTTCTAGTTCTGCTTCTGAACACTCGAGTCTGAGAAAGGAAGGCAAATCTATCAAGATGATTTGCTCTAGATGTCGTGTCTAGCTCAAGCACCGAGAGCTGTGCAAGTACCAGAGAGTGAGTTCCACATATGAGTTCCAATAGTCAAAGCAATACATGAAAAAGGTCATTTTCCAGAAGTTATTCCCACTAGCCCACTGAGGAAAAGCAGCAGTGTGACAATAACATAGTGTAGATTTGTAGTGTTACTTTACATATTTTAAATCAGCATCATGTGTTTGAAAACCTAGCACTATCTTATGGCACGTAGCATAAAACAAAAAAATTACAGATTACTTGCCTTTCCCATCTGTTGCTGAAGCTTCCTGTAAATGTCTTATTGACCTGAAAAATAAAAAAGGAGTAGATTAGCTATAATTTTTGCACTCCCTTTTCACTGCAGCCCTCTAGAACACTGACAAGTTTTGATAGCTCTTTATGGCTGGGGTATACTCGTAATTAACTGTGCTTAGCGTGCTTGGCATACAGTTCACCCCCAGCTCAGGCAGTTAGTTCAAGTATCTGCATCTCCTTGCGATTAAGAAAGCCGATTGCCAAAGCCTACTTCAGCCTACAGAAAGCTTTGTGGGAGGGAGGGAGCAGAGTGAGAAACTGGGGCATTTTCCAGCATAATGCTTTCCACTTGTACAATTAAGCTGAGCTACTACTCAGAGTACTGCCAAGCATTTGGCATCTTACTGCTCTTTTAAGCTCTTTTCATTTAAATAGTTGATTACAGCTTACATGTCTACATAGGCAACTTATGTAACAGAAGCTACCCTGCAGGAATGTAAATTCAAGGGCCAAGTCTTAGTCACCTTGCTCCCATGAATCATCCCACCAGCTGCAGTGACACTATCCAGATGAAAAAGGGGCAGGATTTTGTGTCTTGGGCTTCACTGCCAGTTTATGTTGGTACCATGACAATCCAGGAACACTGGCTGCACACTATAGACAGTTACACGATAGCTCACCCAAATGCATTTGCTCTTCAGATACAATTCCTTTATGGAAAGCAAGTTTTGTACCAGCATATCACTAAGCAGGACATATGGATTCTAGCATTAGGTAGTAAAGAGCTGCAACTGTAAAAGTCACCTTTATCACAGGAAATCAGTCTCTCTACAATTAAAGTTAATATTCTTGCAGGTTTATTTACCATACCCAAACGCTCTCAACCTCAGAAGAGCTGCAGCATTTTGACTGGAGTGGAGGAAGGGAAGAGTGGGCAGTGCAAGTTTCTTGGAAGACGTTTCCCAGCCTTGGCAGAAGGCCACCAAGACTGTGTAGGGTTTTGCCCTTACACAAAGGACAACTGGGAAAGTAAGGACAGCTGAAAGCCACCCTCACAAGTCAAGCTGAAGCTTACCCCCATCTGCTGAGCAACACGTACGTGTGTCTTTACGAAACAGTTTGCTGAAACACTCAAGAGTTACACACTCTAGAGTGATGACATGTTTATTAGACAGACATTTATATTCATTCTGTGTTTCAGGAAAAAATACTGGAGATACTGGAGAAAAAGAAGAATATTCTGTGTTTACTAACCAAGGAGCCAGAAGCTCCTTCATATCCTCCTTTAAATCCAGCTGTTTATCCAATTAAGACTAAAATGAATTTGAAGATAAATGTTCTGACTAACTGGCAAGAAGCAACAATAGTGTTTATCTGAATTATCTGTGTTTTGGTTGAGTTTTATATAACCAACATTATTCTTTGCCAAGTAGAGTGGAAGGAAGGGCAGGGAAATGCTCCCTGTGGGATTATTTCTTTTAAACAGTCAAGTAAAAATACAGCTACTCTGCTTGAAGGCAGCACAGATCTTAGACAGCACTATTGTTTTAGAATTTAACAGCCTAGTTTCCAACCTCAGTCAGTAAAGCAAAATCCTATTTCTCAACGTAAGAGAGTCAGTACTTCTGAAAAATTCCAAGTTTCAAAAGCACCTATAGTCTGCACTGTGCTGGCCCCACTTAAAATCGCCACCCACCTTACCTTATCCCCACTTTAACATCCCCAAAACAAGTATCTTCTACAACACAAGGCTGAAGTGTTAAGATTGATACAGTTTCAAAAAGTTAACAGAACCCTTGCCTCCACAGGACTGACTTTTTGCGCTTTGGCAGTACCTTTAGCTCTAACTAGCAGTCAATACTCATTAGTTCAGAAACAACTCAAGCCATCGGGGCCCAGAAACCACACAATACATACAGTGACTCACCATACCACTGGAAACAGGATAGCTCCGCAACATAGCAAGTCTACCAGGAAGAGGATTTCTTTCCACAGTCCATATTCAGTTGTCCCCTCTTCTGTTGACTCTATGATAATGTACGCCACATTTGCGAGGACCTACAGGACAAAACATGCTTAATGGTTTCAGAAGCTTTCCGAGGAGATACTGATGTGGGCTGCCAATTCAGCAAAAGCTGTCCCACAGTGGCAGGAAAAGGCCGTTCGCTAACGTCAATAATTCTTCTGCACCTCTATGTCAAGAAAGTCACACGTTCAGCAGCATCTTCACAGGATTCACAGAAATAAAACTGATTGGAACTGATTTCTGCTGACATTCAGGCAGTAGTCCTTTTTGTTATATACTATGCTGAATCTATTGTATCAGTAGAAATAAAAAAGAGCATAATCTATTTATAAAAATACAGAAACAGGACTCCCCATACGCACAGACAGCAAACAGTCTAAATGCATTATTCTCAATTACGCCAATAATTCAAACTGGTCATTGACCACGTTTTGTACTCTGTACCTGAGCTCTGTAAGAGCCTCAAACCACTAATTATACACTTCTGGTTTTGCAGCCGAGTAAGGGATTCCATCTGGAAAGGCAGAAAAGCTGTTCTATCTACAACAAATAGAAGTGCTGCCCTCCTATTTACTTCAGTTCCTGGAGTACGAGACAAGCACTGATCACTTTGAACACACTGGGAAAGTTTCCCTCAGACTCAGTGGACCTACAAGTCTCAGTTTTCCCCTTTTTTTTTTTCTTAAGCTCACTCAGCATTGCAGAAGTGACAACTTTCATTTCATTTCTCTGCTGAGTAGTTTAGTACTGTTTTGCAGCCCAAGTTTTGCCCCAGCATGAACATACCTACCTTATAGCTAGTTGTTCACTTGCTGACACTGTTTGATCACCATTATCTCATACTCAATACAGGCATAAAAGTGGGGAAAATTACAGAGGTCATTTCTGGCCCAGAAAATCCCAGCTCAACTGGGATTGTAACCAATAGGCTTATACAAGCAGTAGTTATGCAGTAGTTTGTGAGGGATTCACAGCCTTTTACAGTTTCCACAAGCAGCTCTCCCACAAGACCCTAAGTATTAACACAGCTCAGTCCTCACCTGAAGTGGGATGACAATCATGAAAATTTTTTTGTCTTTATCTGACAGGATGTGTTTAATGAAAGCCCAGCCTGTGCCAATAAGGGCAATAGTGATGAACAGAAGAGCACCCTTCAGTCTGAAAGAGAAACAGATACTGCAGTGAGAGACTTTATTTTATCACACTTCCTCTTCTGCCCAGGTTCTCTCCTACAGTCAGTAAAGCCACAAACCCAAACAAATGCCTTGCTATTCATAATTTTGGCAAGTGCTTATCCTACAACAGTGAAGCAGATGTACTTGCTTACAACTGCGTATCACATAGCAATATTACACTTCATTCATAATTGTCAATATATGCAATCTTTTCCTGGGGGAGTCATCCATTCACCATCATGAACAGGAGAAAACACTGGCAGCTGTACCCTCTTTTACCATTCACACCAAGAGCAAATTAGATACTTGAATATTAGTATGAACAAAGAAAAGCAAAGCATTTCTTCTCCTTTTACTCCTCCACCCAGATAAGTACCAATTCTCTGCAGCTGCCCTGTATAAGTAGAGCTTTCCCCTTCACACAGGGCTGATTGTTGCCTTGTCATTCAGCCCATAGTACCAAAGAATCAGCAATTTTCCAGTTTGCTCAGGAGGGAGGGAGGGGGGCAGCCCCACAGGGAATTCAATTTCATTGTTTGAATCTATCACATCAATCTTCTGACATACTTACAGGTGAGTGATGTAATAAACAACAGCCCAGCCTTCAATAGGAAATCCCTGAAAAGAAATGTAGTGATAGTCGATCTGGAAGCAAAAAAATACAGTATGTTACTTTACAAGCTGCTCATCAGCACCCCACCCATGTCTATAAAATAGGTCTGCCTGACAGCCACTTCAAATTTCATTTTCCAATCAGTGTGTACAAACTCAGCTCTGTTACGTCTTACAGAATGCTTCCTCCCAACGTGCTCTGGTTTTGTTTAGCAACAACGAGGCCGCTTCCATTTGCTGTATTTCCTAAGTGTTAGTGGATATATCTCATAGAATCTACATCCTTTCCACACAGCTCCCATGCTTAGCTATAGTTAAACAACTGCATTTGTAACCTATTTATTCATTCATTGTTCAAGTTCAGTTGCATTAGGTGACTAGAGGTTTTCTAGTTTCAATTTTACTGGAAACCAGATTCAATGCCTTAGACCCCAGAAATGTTTGTAGCAGTTATCCGAACGTGAAGGTGAAGATCATGGCTGGCACAAACATTGAAGGATTAAATGCTTGCCATTACCTTTGTTTATGAGATCTTTCCAGTGGAAAGGCAAAGTCAATACAATTCAACAGAGACTTTGTGTGTTGAAAGTGTTAGGTCTGTTAACGTTAGGTCTGTTACAGTACACCATAATACTTCATCTAAAGCAGTGCCCTTGAATTTTACAAATATTCATCGAGGTTTCCATTTATTAACATTTATTGCAAGCCACATAGCTGAAGCAGCACCATCGCTCAAGCTTTCAGGCCAGCCTCAGATGGCCAAAACATTAGAATTCATGGAACTCATTCAACCCTCACGTACGCTTGCTGCTTCACCACTTCAGGCCATGATCTCAATTGTATTTAAAGTCAGAATTTGCTAATGAAAACTGAATCACTTCCACCAAACAGCTGCAGTTCAGTTCCAATGCTTCAATATGAAAGACACTTCTTGCTCCCTCCCATTCTCCCCCACAAAGCGGATTTCTCTAACAGCATGCCCTGGATTCCATGTTTCTACTTTCTAGCTGAACAACTTAAAGGCAGAGACGTTATACATACCGCATGGAAGACTAAGGACAGAGATTTTGTGAAAGGGAGGGCTGCCATTAGCCAGTGAATCTTAAAGACATCATTTCTGGGAGAGGAGGGGGGGGAAAAAAAAGGAAGAGCATCAATTAAAAGCCAGCAGTAAAAACTTCAGTTCCCAGGGGTATTTCTTGAAAACCTACAAACAGTAACACCCAGGCTGAGGTGACTATAGCGTAAAAGGACTCCCTTTAATGCTGCAGCCCAAGTTTTTGCAACATCCTGAACAACATTTCAACTATGTTCTACAACTCTGATTTTTAATACTCGAGTTAATTGAAAACAGTAATTCGTAGGAGTATCTTGCCTATATAGATGATAGCTGTTAGAAAGTTTGCTAAACATCATTCAAACATGTATTACTCCACCCTCCGCCCCCAAGTCACTATACACACCACCAAGTGAACTCCAGACTACTAAATAATCTGATCACTAAGTGAACTCCAGACTAAGTCAGAGGTAAAGCCAAAATGGAATCATAGGTGCTCCTGGCTTATGTTGCTACGCTTTAACTATTAAGCAGCATGGTTTTCACTTAGGAATTCCTACCACTTTTGACTATAATCAAAATGTTTATGGCTCTCCACTGCCATAGCTGTCATTCCCCATGGGGAAAAAAATATGATCACCTTTTTTCTTATTATTTCTTTTCAAAGAGCGTTCTCCTTTTGTCATCAACTACAGGAATATCCCATTTATTTGTTGCCACAATATATTTTAATATGTATGCTACATGAAGAATTTCTTAATGTAAGACTTGATAACTTTAGAACAATAGTCTGCAACAGTGATACTGACAGAAGTACCTGCTTTCAACTATAAACTTATGTATTAGGCATACAATATTGAGCCAGATTTGGAGTTTTAAGTGATTAAATCTGACTATGAATTGGGCGTTCTAAGAGGAAGAGTGAAAAATAAAAATCAAACACAGTAGGCCCATACTTGTCTCTGACACCAAACTAGTCCGCTTACCTGCGTTTACGAAGTATGTGGATCCATACAGTCCCAGACAGGAAGAAGAACATAGCCATGGAAATGTAGAGTTTTGGCAGTGGGATCTCACCTGCCGAGAGGTAGCTTTCAGGATTCTTTTCCGTAATTTCTATCTGAATATTAAAGGTGTGTTATGTGTACAGTTGAAAAAACATTTTCTTAAAGCACTGAGTTAACAATTACAGTTCACAATCAAATTTGCTCATTTAAAATTAGCTTTTCTGAAGCAGTGACTGTTATGAGACTCACAGAAAAAATAAAAGCAACTCTTCATCCTCAAGAACCTCAAAACATTTTGCAAAATTACACCCACAGCAATAATTTCCTTGAAAAGCAGAAAAGGACAGACGTTCCTTCTGCTGCTTCTGTTATGCAACATAATTCAGAAAGACAAAGTAATTTTCCCAAAGAATAGTTGTTCTCTATACCAAACTTCACAGAGTTTGCCCACCTTTAATTCAGAAACAGTATCTATAACCTTGCATAAACAAGTAGGTTTTTTAGCACAGTCCCGAATTATGTGTGGAGAGAATCACACATAGCTGAAAAACCCCACTCTTGGGTTTACTACAGTGGATTTCTTCACCTGTCAAGAGACAGGAAGCACTCTGCTGCAAGCCTGTTACCTTGCGACTGAGAAAACAGAAGCTTTATTTAACATGCTATTTATGCCCCTAAATGGCTTGGTTACATGTGCTAGGACTTCATTAAAATAATGCATCAAGACTGGTTTGCAGCACCGAAACTGTCCTGCAGCTCTAAATACAACCAAGCAGGTTAGTTATCCAGACTTTCTTCTCTTTCTGATTTCTTCAGTGGGTCAAAGCAACAAACAGCAATTCAAAAACTTGGTCTTTGAAACACACAACTTCAGAAGCAGATTTATAGCAGTCCAGTCTGAGTTAAGCTATGGCTGCTAAGTTTTATCACTACATGCTCCCTTGCTTTTCCCTTGCCGTAGCATCAGCACAACCATGTAAAAAGCAGTTCAGGGGGCTGATCTGGCTGAGTTACCTCAGTCAACGAGAGGATTCATTACAGAAGAGCTCACTATACACCAGCATGGATGCCGGCATGAGCACAGGAAAGAGAAAAAAGGGAAAGCCTGAGCTGTGATAATGTACTGTGGCTCAAAAGAGCATAGGACCAAACCCCTGGATGTTAAAAGAGATGAGACATTTGCTGTAACATATTGCCTTTAAGATGTGCATCTAACACTGTAAAAACGCATCTTTAATTAGGCCAGAAAAAGCAGAGACACTGAATTCAAACACCAACAATTTTGACTGCAGCAACAGCCTTAATATCTGCAATTGTGTAAAGAAAAAAGTGATTTTTGAGCACAACAAAACATGAACAGCTGTTTTAGCTCCCATCTCATTACAGCATCTAGTCACAACTGTGTAGATGGAACCCAGCCCACATGCAGTCTTCAGATTTCCAGACATTTCTCCAAAATAGTATTTTAATTCTTCTTACTGTAGTTGCTTTCTTCAGAAATGCCACTACAGAGATTAAAGGCACAACTCTGAATCACTTTCCACTCCATATATACACTCATGTACAGTGTGTGCTGATACACAAGCTAGAATTGAAAGCTGTATCTTTCAGTCTAAGCAAGTGAGTTAATTATACTTTAGAAGCTATACTCACATCGAGGCTAAATAGCTGCTGATCATTAGTCGCCCCATCCTTGCCAACACATTTATGGAAATACAGGCTGTAGAGACCTTCTTGGTTTTCAGAGCTGATGTTAAAAAAAAACTGAAAATAAGGAATAGGAAAGTCAGCATTCTTCTCATTCACAACAGGGTTGCCCTGGTAAGAAGCCATCTCTACTGAAGCATGAAAGAAGTCAGTCATTTAAGGTCAGTTGGTTCCTTTCAGCAAGCATACTGTTCTGAGGATACCAGCATATCTGCAAGTTTCGACAGAATTCCACATGCAAAATCATTGTACCTATCTATGATTAGGCACTCTGGTAATCCAAGACCTTTATGAAAGGCCTTTAGGTACCAGTGTTTAACTCAGCTCACCACAGAGAAAAGATAACAAGAAGTGTTGTGTATTTAACATGGTGAGGTGTAAAATTTTAATCATACTTGCCCTAAAGCATAAGCAGCTATTCTGTTCCTCCCCCAACTATACAAATTGGAAGCTATGGAAGTAAGATTTGTGTCACATAAAACAAACACATTTTAAATTCTATAGTAACCAACAATCACAAGTGAACCAGTATACAGAAACACAGCACTAATCTGGTTTCAGGCAGAGTATCTTCCCCTTAAGCGAGTCATCAGTCAGGTCCCAGCTACTCGTTCTTAGAAACCTGTATGCACTAGTTGCGTCACAATAAACTTCAACACGCTGAGGCTCACAGACTAAGATATTTAGAACTGCATCATACCAAAGACAGTTTAAAACAGCCCCCACACCTTATGAAGAAAGATTTCCAGCACTTATTCTTAACAAGAGTCCACTCAAAAACTGACTGAGCTATCAGAGAGGCATCTATACCCAAGAAATGGGGATTACAGTAGGGAGCAACAGACTTGCTTTTCACAAAGCAGTACAGTGAAGGAACTGTCTGCACACATTAAGACTAGACACTGACAGACACCCTACCTGAAATGAAAAAGTTCCTCTGTCATTGTGAACAGGATGTTCTTGTTCTACTATGCTCTGGCAAAAGGAAAAGAGACAGATTATTTTTTTTTTTTTTAAAGCAGGTAACTACCACATCTGGCTACATCACCCAGACAATCAAAACTGCATTCTGTATATTTACAGCAGAAGTTGAGAGCAATAGAAAATAATACTCTCCACTTCCTGGCTGTGCTTATACTGGAATATTCCCCTAGGTTCTTTTCAGAAAGAGAACAGCAGACAGTTTCTTACCTGGGATGATGTTGTACTTCGTTTGGACTGCTTCCCTAGAGATAGAAGTATTAATGGTACATTTAGAGTGTTTGCATTTAGACATCCTTGTAGACTACCACCTTTTACACATTGCCAATACCTTACTCAAATCTTCCTATACTTGTCTGCATGGCAATTTCCTAGATAATCATTAACAGAGATTCTTTCCCAGTCCTTCCTTACCTCCCAGGACTCTTCCTACAACTAGCATCCATTCCTGATGAATCCTCAAATGCTAGGATAAGCTTCTCTACTATTACACCTTCTACAAAAACCTACCCAAGAAATCTTTCCAACCCCTCCAATTACACTGATGCAGGAGGCGGATGACCTATACCAGATGCAGGCTACAGCCTTGTTTCATACAGTCTACAGCTATGACTTTTAATGTTATGACAGCACTGTTAATCTCACTGACTAATCTTAATCTGGACATCAATACATGGCCTGACAAACATATGGAAGTCCTAACCAGCCCTGGGGAAGGAAAAAATTCTCAGCTCTTTATAAGCAAGGCACCAGTAAAAACACAAACAAACCCAAACCAAACCAACCCCAAAGCATAGGTGACCTGCCAAGTCAGTATCTGTTCTGAACTTGAGAAACTTAAATTGACAGGAGACTTCAACAGAGCAGCATGTCAAGTTCACAGTTTCATTCTACTGCTATAAGAAGCTTTTCAAACCTAAGGTCATCCCATTCTATTAGGAACCAAAAGTTCAAGACAAACTTTGCTTTTGGCTCCCGCACCTCAATGCGCCGTCAGTGTGCATGCTAGACTTCTCAGTGCCAGAAAAAGCAGAACTAGAGCTGTCAGATCAATTATTTTCAGTGCCATCCAGCTTTAGTTCTTGACTTGTTAGAACAGCTGTGCAAAATTTTCAACAATAAAGCTTGTGAACATGACAGGCCAAGACAGACTCAGACTACTTCAGATCAGACTGAGCAGTCTGATCTAAAGTCTAAACTCTTCCAGGAAGGGATAACATGAACTGTTTAGAGATAATCTCAGCAGAACTGAGATTATAAAATTGTTTCATCTGCTAATCTGGAAGCCAGACAAAAGATTTGTGCCTCCAACAAAGGTTATGGTATAGTTACTTCTCCATCCCCATAGCTTCTAAGTGACAGACTAGATTTCAGCTCTTTAGATACATACAAACTCATACAAATGCTGGCTGGAAAGGACCTGTGGAGGTACTTAACCCAACTTCTGACTCAAAGCATGCCTAGCGTCAATACTGTATCACATTGGCCCTGGCTTTGTTTAGTGAAGTGTTTAAAACTTCAAAGGATGGAGGTTCTACAACTTCCACAAATGATGTGCTACCATGCTGGAATACCTACCTAGGAAAGTCTTATTTTCCCTCCCAGCATCCAGTCTGAGACACCTGAGACTTAATAAGGGGGATCAGCCACAGGTTGCATTGTGTGACACTATTAAAAATAGCTTGGCATCATTGTCCTTCTAACTGTCCTTCAACTAGCTGTTGGTGGCTACCAAATTCCACCTTAGCCTTCTTTTTGCCAGACAAGAGACAACCAAGTACCTCAGCCCCTCCTCACAGGTACTGTAGGTCTCCAACAATCACATTAGGTCTCTGCTGGATCAACAGAACTGGTTAACACAAATCACTGAGCAGGAGAGACTCTAGCCCAAAAGGAAGCTCTATGCACTGGTTTACACAAGACTTCTGTCAAGTTCTAGCCCCAGGGGAACCCAGCATGTAACCACAACACACCGCTGAATGCACATCAACAAGGAACCAGCCGTGAGAGCGCACACAGGTCAGCTTTAGCAGGCTTACCTTTGCTGTCTGCATTTTCATTGGTCTTTGTAGGATTTTTACCAGAATCACTGCTCTGTTCAGAGGTTTTTTGCGGCTTGGTACTTAAGGCAGTAACATTTTCCTCAGACATGAATGAAATTTTAGGTAACAAAGAAGCAGCTTCTGCAGAGAACCGTACTTTCACGCTAAATAAACAAAAGAGTTTTTATGCAAAACTAAAGTCAATCAACATTCATAAAGAGGCTGTCATAGCCTACATATACTCAATAAAGGAAAATCAACTTGTTCTGACCTTTTTTTTTTACCACAGAGAACAGGCAAGCACCAGATCATGACTTACAGCAGCCTGGCATTGAACTGATGGCTCTGGGAGAAGTCACACTATATGTTTATATCAAATACAAGAGCAGCTGAACAAAAAGTTTATTCAGTTTTGGTAACCAGAGTCTCATTAGAAATCATGTTTCCACACAAACAGTTACAGTTGTTCTTCCAAAAGAAAGCAAGACAAACAATAAAACAGCGTATTCAGTGCAAGAGCTGCAGAAGTGACCCAAGAATTCAAGTTCATGCCTGCAGCACAATTAAGGTATGACTCTTCTGCCCTATGTCCTCCAACATACAGCAAGAATTCTTAGACCATTTTATACTGAAAATTTTTCTTTCACTCTCACCTCCCCTCAACTCTCATGTAACCCATTAAGAAATAAACTACGTGCACAGCAGTTTTCCAAGCCCTTAAAGAAATTTCACAAGTGTTACCTTAGCTTCAACTAGAGAAATAACTTTAAAACGTAGTGTACACTGTTTACTCACACTTCAGTTTTGAAGTCCAGAAGTAAGATGACAACAGAGACATCTCGCTCTGGTTTCTTTTTCAAGATACAGTAATCTACTTCTTCATCCTGGTAATATAAGCAAAATATCTTTGAAGTGCCCTCCTGTCGATAAGAAATGGGACATGTTCCCCCCCCTCAGGTAGAGGTTACCATTCTTAGTCTAGAAAGTTGTAAAATTGAATTACCCTTAAAAACTGCCCATGTCTAAAGGCCCCCCCCCTTTTTTTTTTATTTCTTCCAACCATTCCTGGAGTGAGGTAGACTATGAGATGCCCCTAGCTTAGAAAAGTAAGGTCACATCTCATTCTTACCAGGTAAGTGGAGAACCCATCATTCCTTGTTCGATCCAAACTGAACCCCACCTATGAAACAATTGAGAAGAATCTGTCAAATTAAAACAGCTCAGGTTCCCCTAGTATCAGAAGTCAAACCACCACTGAAAGAGTCAAAGACACTGCTCTCTAAATAAATTAAACATTTAAGGCAAAATCCAGGTATTTTTCTCATTACCTAATTAGACAGAAAAAAATTATTCAAATCTAATAAGCTTGCTGGTTCATCCATATCCACCAAGAATAAAATATATACTGATTCAAACTCAAACTAGAGTACCTTCTGTCCCTGAACCTTTTAACTTATTTCAGAATTTTTCCAGATGTTTTTCCTTGAGGAAAACATTTAATACTTTTAGTAATAAAGAGGTCAAACTGTGCAGAAGAATAAGAACACAGGTCTGTTTTCTACCCTAGTGTTTCAGTCTCTCTATTAAAATTACTCATATAATGTACTATATAACATGTAATGTTAGAGTCCTCTAAAAATAAGACGGTCACTGTTCTGGAAACCTACTGATATCATGATTACAAGACACATTGCAATGCAACAGGACAACAATGTGAAAATCTCACATCAGAGGACTGCTTAGGAAGCCTATGTTCAATATAGGTTGTATATGCACGCATCGAGTTCAGTAGAGGATCCGGTAAGTTAAAGTTTATTGTTAAAGCAGAATGTATAGTGCTCAAGGATAAGTCTCACAATATATATATATCGTCATAAATTGCTCGCAGTGGGGAGCAAAGCCAACAGCACCACCAGTCAGGATCCGACTCCTCAAACAAGGTAAGGCATCCAGTGGAAGGGCAATTTAACGGGAAGCTTAATACAGTCATTGAACTCAACTTACTGATAAGCTGCCCTTGTCATCAGAGCCCACAGGGGGCTTCAATGAAAGGTTGCCGACATTGACTTTCATGAAACCATCCTTGAAGAAGCCAAAGGTATTCAGGTGCACTTTCTGCCTCACATCATCCTGTAAGAAAGGAAAGTAAGTTTACAAATCACATATAGTCATCTGCAGCAGCAAAGAAGAAGCAGGGTGACAGAGATTGACACTTAACTATTCATGCAAAACATCTACCTGATCATACCAAGAGAAAATTTCTTTAGGATACCTTCAGATATAACCAATTATTTCACTGGAATCAACCAACTCTTCCAATAACTTGAACAGTAAGAACTTTAAATAAATGTGTCTTTGCTAATTACCTGGCTATACTACTGAGAAATATGCAAGAAAAAAGTTTGGAAGAAATTAAATATCTGGCAATGATTAAACAAAAATATTGATTTGTCTACAGTCTTTTTTTTGGTAGCAAGACAACTATTGTTTGAACACTAGCTGCTGTCATTGCAACAGACTGAAGAGGAATTAGTTGACTATAGTGATGTCACCTAACCGAGAGCTGGGTTTTGGCCAGGTGTTTCACAACTATCACAGGGTATTGCCATCCCATCAGATCTTCTACATTAGGCAGGGTCAATGTTTGGGCAGTCAAACACCTAACACACTGGAAAACTATGTGTACAGTGTAGATGAGAAAATTTCTTATGTAGCCCCATTCCTCCAAATGATTTTTAGCAAGGCCTTGCATCTTATAAGTAGGATAAATACCAAAAACTGTATATGTGTGTTCAAACAGAATTACTTGGGTCAGTTTCTCTAACAGGAAAATTGCAATCCCCTCCTCTGCTCCCTGTCTTAGCTGCAGAATAATTTACTCCACTTCAGTCTGGCAAGGGAAGTGTAGAAATTGATCCCTTTCCATGCCTTGCTCAGCTGATAAAGGTTCAAGTACAGTGAGCATTTTTTTTTTTTTTAAATAAGAAGGTCATGAAGGACCTCACATGAAAAGTAGTAAACATTACACACAGTTGCCACATCAGGTGAGGAAATGTCATATCCCTGTTACTTTGCATTCATAAGTCAATAAACAGGCATGCAGTTGGAGCCTCAAACCTACTCGATCATTAATTGGAAGAAAAGCAGAAACAGAGCAACAAAAATTAAAAAGCAAGTTCAAAATTGATTTAAAGCACTTTTACAAGTTGTCACTGAAAATAAGAAAATTGTTTCTTCTAGGAAAGATAATCAGATTGCAGAATACTCTAAGCAGAGAATTCAGCTGCTAAAGGCAAACAAAGCGTTCTGGGCAAGGTACTGGAAGACCGAGCTAAGAACTGTAGAAGTACAGTAAGTTCTCTCTCTTCCTTTGCTCCCAGTATTAATTTTGACTTCTCTGCATAAAACATTCCTGACACATAAATAGGACTCACTGTAATAGCAGGACACTACTCCTGACACAGCTAACCTGTAATATAGCTGTAATAAGATCGCCCTAACAGAATCAAGTTAACCTGGCAAATAACCAGATGGTTCCCTTAATGCTCAGAAGAGGAAAAAAAAAGTTAGTGACACATGGCACACAGCAGATGCTTTGTTCAACAGAGTATTATAGCTGTGCTGTCTTTGGGTTCTAGGTCACTTAACGTGCTTGAAACAAGAGCCCATCTGGTTCATTTAACACTGCTTTTGATATAATTTCCCAGTCAGAACAGAATATTAATACTAGCTCTTTACGTAGCACATCATACGTATTTAACCACATCTGGACAGATAAGCATTTGTCTGCGTGATTAGGTAGAAGGGAACAGGAGGGGGGGATACAGGGTCATCCAGCCACAGGGTGTTTTGCACCTTATAAACATGACCAGAGACAGCTGCTTAAGTCAGAGTACTTGCAAAAGCTATTCAGTTCAATTTAAGTTTGTCTACTCTGCCAGTTTACTGCTCCCCACCAATAAAAGATAATTAATATACAACACACACACTTTCCTCCCTGGTTTTATCTCAGCTTTGAGTGCTTAGAGTTTACAGATTTAGTTCACAAATCCTTCAGCTTTACATGATCCCACACACACTGTTACCAGTTGCCACCAAGCAACAGCACGCCCTCCAAGAGCTGTTCCACACATCGACAGCTTAAAGACAGCGGCTTACTAATAACTGTCTCACCTCTCACAGGAGGTTTAACAGGTTGGAAGAATCTGACTTTTATTTATAATCACTCAACCGCTGACTGCAGAAATATTCAATTGTAAGTTTACAACAAAGATCTGAACCCATACAAGTGAATACTTAAGCATCTGAGTTGTTAGCATACACATTATTTTAGTTTACATAGAGTGCTTAAGTCTGCCCCTTTGAGAAGGGGTGATCTGGGACTCATCACTACCAGGTTACAATCAGACCAATACAGTATGTTCTCAGCTTATTTCCATAAAAATCTTCCCCACTTCTTCTACCCCTTTAGGATAAAAATTGATCCTGCAACATATGAATAAGATTACAGGAAAGTGGTATCCAAGATCCTGTAGCCCAGAATGAGCAGAAAAAGATTAACATTTTACCCAAAATCTAATTGGGATCATGGTATCAGTGTGTGAGACTAATAGACTTAATTCATTTAGTCTTACATAAATTATGTGAAAGGTGTTTTCTACTTGAGCAATTGGAGCTTGAGGCCTACCAACATTAAAAGGCCACAAGTATTTACAAACAACCACTGAAAAGTAACATCTTCCAAATAATAATTTGGAACATGAAACTGCAATCTTGACAATATCATAAAACAGGAGAGGTCTTACTTCCCTTTTGGAAGCTAAATAATTGCAAAGAGAATTCACTCTAATCAGAAACTAACACCACAGCTGCTACACAGCATTGTCAGCTGGATGGTTCCTCTTGATAAATCACTACAAACTGGTACATTCAGGTATTCACTAGCATTAAACCTAACTTCCTCAATCTCCGAGACAGTTTGCCATTGCATCACGCAAAACATAAGGCTTCAATATTACACCATTCAACTGTTAAGACAAAAAAAAAAAAACCAACAACTTATTTTAAATCAAGAGAAACATTCCAACTACTTCTGGAAACCTCTGAAAATTGCTTCCAGTCTTTATAACTTCACTTTTTGTAGGTTTTTTTTTGTGGTGCTTTTGTTTGTTTATTAACACAGCTCATTAAACTAATGAAGCTGATAACAATTGCTACTAAGGAAGAGAGTTTCCTTTGACAAGGTTAGTCTAATAGCAAGATTCAAATAATTTTCCTAACTCAGAAGAAATAAATCATTTTGTATGTTTTTATAAAGATAAAAAGTTATTTTCAGAACAGGAAACCACTCAGACGGTGGCTTGTTTTTCTGACAACAAAAAAAGCTTCACCTTAGCACACTAATTACAAGATACAAGAATGAGGCTATTCTAAGTCAAGCAATAACAGCTTGTTTGAGGAAACCTAATAGCAAACACTCACACAAAGCTGCGGCCTTTAGCTTGGCACAGCATCAAAGCACACTTACAAGCCAGGAGCCAACAGCAAGAACACTAGAAGGGAGATTTCTCTGTGAAAGGGTACAGTTGTTGGAGCCTGACGTTCACATAAATGCTGTAAAGCGGCAGCAGAAGCAGAAAGGGAGAGACCGTGCTCTAACAGTAAAGCTCGTGTTTATACAGGAAGCGGACAAAGGCATTAACGCTCTTCTACTTTCCACAGTGCTCCATAGGGCAGTGTTGCAACTCACACAAAATACCTACAAAAGTAAAACCATACCCCACTTTGATTGCAAAAATCAGCAACCACAGCATAGTAATTGATCCAAGTAGTTAAGAGACCCTAGTAGGAACTAGAAACGGTAATGTTTGCTGCTGAGAACATTTGCTTGAGGCCAGTTTGAAAGTTTTCTATCTAAGGGAAAAGTATCACCCCAGGAGAAATTCTTCCAGCACTCAACTGTTGGCCACAAATTCCTCAAAACAATAATGTAACTAGCACAAACCTCCTAATTTATTGCTTCAGAGAAAAGTTTACTTTTTCTGAAGCAGAAAAATATGCATGTGGTTGCACATTAGACAACTACATAGCCTGGAAAACCCCCTACGAATAAGTCATGAATGTCCCCCTGGCATTCACTCTATCCTACAGGCTGAAGGGGAGCTCCTGCAAAGTTTTGGCACTCTCCCTAAACTGCTACAAGAACGGAGTAATCCTGGCCCTGGTCATATACCACCTTTTTAACTTCTTCCAATGTTTCTATTGGCAAAATATTACATGTTGTTGACAGCAAGAACAAAATTAACAATCGCATTCCGAAGATATACAGAGCGCTTCATGAACTATACAGAAGCCCTTAAAAAGCATCACCCCAAGCGCACAGTTCTGGTATCACATAACCACTGCACAGCTTCTCATTTAAAACACAACAGACAGCATGACTCTGGAGCTGCAGGTCATCGCCACGACCTGCACCACTTCCCATCAACCAGCCTGAATAACTAGTTTTTCCTCAAATATAGGCACAGGACGACACAACACTCTCTCAAAGCACAACCAGAACTCTATTAAAATGAAATAGAGAACTGTCAGCATGAGTATCTTCTTTTGCCTCTACTGATAGCTTGATTAGCGCTAAGAAACTACAGATGGAAGGCCAATAAGACAGCCACACAGCCTTTTAGAGTCGAGCGACCCACAAAGAAGACAGGAAAGCTACTACAGACCACAGATTAAAAGAAAAACCATCCCCAAATTCCCTCCGGAAACCTCCCCACATCCCATGTTCAGTCCTCGCTCATCACACACAGCTTTCCACCTCGCTTTTAAGAGGATGTGAAAATTTTGGACCTTCAAACCACTGCAGTTCTGAGGCTCCTTCACACGCTTTCCCCAGACTAAGAAACAGGCGGCCAAAAAGGCAAGGATGGAGCTAAGGGGATGCAGGGAGAAATAACGGGAAAAGCAGAACACAGCAGGGCCCGAGCAGACCGAGGAGCAGAGAGAGAGCCCAGAAAGCAGCAAAGAGGGAGAAATGCCGGGGGAAGGCAGCGGGACAAAGCTGGAGGCGCGGGGAGAACAGAAAAGCCCCGGACCGCGGGAGGCGGGCAGGGCCAGGCCGGCC